GAAATCATTGATAATCTGATATAAGCTATGGACTCCCCCCTCCTGTATGTGCATATGGAAATAATTTCATTCCACTTTATTTTCAAGTTGAGAAAACTGAACCATATGATGCTGATTCATGGCCCCTCCTTTCCTTTCCCAAGTTTAAAACTCCTGCTCTAAGAAAAAGAAGTTAGTATTTCAGGAAAGCTAATAGGCAGAACAATGAACAGAAAACCAAAAATGATGCTGTCTTTTCTGCAGCACCTTTGATTGCCTCTCATGCAACCACTTTCCATCACCTTCCAATTCACACCTCTGCAGAAAGATTTGCCAAGAAAAAAGAAAATTTAGTTTTGACTGAGAAAGTGACAGTATGCTGTGATGGTAGATACTATCTTGGCTATCAATGTTGAGTATTCCTGGAACATAGATGTATATTCCAGAAGCTTTTGAAAGCATTCTAAAAGTTGCAAGAGAATGCAATCCTGTCTTGCCTTATCCACACTTATAAGGAACTATGATTTCCAAGTCTTCATTTTGTTGTGTAATGCATCAGAATCAAAAGGGGACCTTTATCTCTGTAAAGCAAAGTAATTGAGCCATGAGAACAAGAATGGATGAATGCATCCTTATGCACTCTCCAAAATTCTGAAGGTGTAAGCCCCAATTTAACTGAAATACATGTTAGAATGTATGGATGTCAACAAGACTTTGAGGCAGCCTGATCTATTGGGGCAGGAAAACACAGGTAGTTTGTTATCAGATATATCTGGGATCAAATATTATATATCACATCTTTGATGCACTAGGGTTCCAATACATCTCTTCATATATACTTCTCAAGGTTATGTGAGAATTAGTGATAATGCTAAAACATGCTGACATAATTCATTCATTATTGATCTATTCATTTAGGCAATATGTATAGTTATCATGTGCTGTTCTTACAGCAGTGAGAAGGGGGAAAAATCAAACCCATTGTATATAATCATGTTTGGTTCCTAGGAACAAATTAATGAATAATATCTGTAGAACCATATATAGGATTTCTAATAGATCCCATGATAGTTTTATGGTTGTAAACCGATCAGATTATCAGAAATGTATCTGTTGGTTGCTTGCCTTTCAAAAAGCTAATAATGACACTGATACCTCACTGTCATTAAATATTTTTGGAGAAATGTAAAAGAGTCTAAAGTTTACTCAACTCTGCTGATAAAAACAGTATAAGTTAGGTTCAGTGTTGATAAGCAGCAAATAATTTTTTAATGAAATATAAATATGATATTGTCCCATAATTCTCAAAAAATTCCTTTTTTTAGCTTCATTCCTTAGAAACGTTATTTCATTTCAAATTAGTAATCTCAAGAAATAGAACAAGGTCTGCCCCATAGAATTCCAAGTATGGCCTTGAAATTCATTTCCTTATCCCAACATTCCAGATATACTTTGCTTTTCTGATAAATCTATCTATCTATCTTCCTATCTATCTATCATCCATCTCCTATATATAGTGATAGCTTTTACCTGTCTACATATCTCTATATACATATATAAAATTCCAGCCTCCTTTAAAATTAATCCACAATAAATCATCAAACATTGGATTTTTTCAACTGCATCTTAAATTTACTGATAGAAAGGAAACATATTTAAACTGAATGTTATATATGTACTCCTAAAAATCTGTGACCTCTCCAGAAATGTTCAATTATCTAAAAGTTAATTGACATCAGAGTAGGTCACAGGGGCAACGTGTGTGGTTTTCATTCTCCAGCTAGTCAGTGTGCCTATAAATTCTGCTTGTGTGGAATTGTACTCCATTGAATAAATCTTCTTTTCTTTCCAATATTTCTATTATTATTTCTATTAAAGCTAAGTGTATTCAAATGTTATTACATCAGTTAAAATTTCAACCTTTTAGATAAGAGTATCTTAATGCATTCTAATAGTATAAAGTCTTTCAAGTGATTTACCAGGTGTCCACTTTTAGATAAAATGTCTAGACCGTAGCCATCTACATTAAGATAAAATGAAGTGTCAAAAATGGCTTAAACCAAATTCTCACCTGTAGACAGTTCATGGGATATTTGGAAATTGATTTAAAGATTCACCATTTCTGGGGCACCTGGATGGCTCAGTCCATTGAGCATCTGACTCTTGGTTTCAGCTCAGTCATGATCCCAGGGTTATGGGATTGAGCGCCTATCCAGCTCTGCCCTGAGCATGGAGCCTGCTTAAGATCTCTCTCTCTCTCTCTCTCTCTCTCTCCCCCTCTGCCCCCTCTCCCCTGCTTTGCACTCTCTCTCTCTCTCTCTCAAATAAAATTTAAAAATAAAAAGCAAAAAAATAAAGATTCACCATTCCATCACTATTTCCCCAACATATCATGCACTGAGCTTGATGTGAGCTTAATAATACAAACTCTCCTAATGAATAATAATAAGAAAACTGTAAACACCAATCTTCTTCCTTGGCTGAAAACAGTCCATCTCAGAATTAAGCATGCATCAGAATGACCTGCAAGACTGTTTAAAATGCCTCACCCCATGCCTTTCTGGTTCAGTAGGCTCAAGAAGTCATATGTCTAGTTTCTGGCTTAAATACATGATGGGAAAAAACATATTCATTGCATGTATAATGTTTAGAATAAACTTCTGAGATATGGCATGACAGGTAATTATACTCCTTTACTTCAGGTAAGCTAAATTATTGCAACTTTTATTTTGGTCGTGGTGGCTTAACTCATGAAATAACTCATAAAGATCCTCTTGCCAACATGTATGAGTCTTTTTCATGCAGATTACTTAGAAATATGAGAAATGGTATTATTACAGGAGCTCTATCCACTAAATACACTATAGAATGCATTTAGTCATCAATGATTTTCACCCCAGGATATCAAAAAGTATTCTCATTTGCTTTTCTTCACTTATGTTCACATACTTTAAGAGTTACTTTTTCAAATAGTGCACCTGGATATAGGAATACTTTGAAACAAATGTGGGTAAAGGGAGAAAGGGATGCTACATATGCTCACAAATAACCTTGCCCCCTCTCTGTTCTTTATAACCGCCTAAAAGAAGGTTCTTGTCAAATTCCTCTCTTAAATATTTGTACACATAGGCTAGCCATAAAAGACTGATTTGTGTTTCCCAGCTTTTCCCCTTGGATGTCCGCTCTTTTATTTTTTATAAAACTGGAATCCCAGAGTGTCTCTCTGCACGTAAATATCAAGGCAAACATGGTAGGTGTTGAGACAGAGTAAATATAATTATTTTCCCATCTACTCTGATGAGGTTAGGGAACATCAAACCCATTACACTTACCATGGGGTTATGTCATGAATAAATGGTAGTGACCCTAATTAAAAAAAAACACACAATAATGACAATAAGGATGATGACTAACATTTACTGAACATTTACTAGGAACAAGATACTATATTAAGAGATTCACATGAATTTACATCAATCATCAAAACAGCCCTATGAGAAAGGCACTTTTTATTTGTTATTTTAGAATACATGGAAACTGAGTTTCAGAAAGACTAATGTAACTCCCTCAGTGTCACAATGACTAAAATGTAAAACTATGGTTTCTATCAAGGCTGCTCAATTTCAGAGTCCATCACTTTGATGACTACCTCACTGTCTTAATCCTGAGTTATATTTTGTGCTATTTTTTTTGTTATCTTATTACTCAAGCTAAGTACATTGATAAAACATTTTACAAGGACCTTAACAAAAGTAAAACCCCTACTGGGTAAGTATTATGTCCCATTTCAAAAATGGAGAAATGAAAGCTGAGAGGTTATTTCCTTTATGTCTTAACCTTAATGTACTGTTCATCATAGAGTATGCACAAAAGTCATAGATGCTCACAGTTGTGGTTCTCACACTCATTTAAGCGATAAGTCACAAGGCAAGGATATCCTTTTCTCAGAAAGAAATGATCCATTTTTTCATCTATAATGAAATTGGCAAAGTTGAATGGGACCTAAGTTCAAATAAACCTAATATATTAGGGGTCATCATTACATTCTCTAAATTTCATAAACCTGAGAGCAGGTCCCTCTTAATTCTTTTTATGGTAAATCTGATATCGCCTCGACTGTCCATGCTTCACAGACATTTTTTTTAATTATGCCGTAGTTATTTACAATGGTAGTATAAGCTATAATTTTTACTACATTAACTGTTGCCCAGTGTTTAACATTGAAGTGATTAATATCACAGAATCATAAATATGAATTATTAAGCTGATTCTCTGACATCACAAGAAACAACTTAGCACTAAGTTAATGCAGCTTTGCAAATGAAATGAGCACATTCAACCGACACCAATTCCAAGTGTGTGTATCTATCCAAACAGTTCTCTGCACAGTGGTAATTCTCCTAATTCCTATAATTTATTCATCTCAGGATACACTCCAAAGCATTGTTTGCATGTGTTATCCACTAGCTTTAAGAACAGTATTCATTATTGGGAGGGAACAGATGCAACTCTTCAGAAAGGTTTTTTGCGGTGATGTTTGTGCCGAGGAACATTCTATTTGGCAAACATTTGTAACCTGATGAGTAAAATAAAAGAGGAATTTTGAGGAATCAAGATTTAAGTTCTTTACTTCCAAGATCCTCCCAAGAGCCACACTACAATCACTGTAACAATTCCAAATCTCATTCTAGATGGCCGTGTATATTCAAATTGGAAAGAAACCTGTAATTACCCAGTGAGATTTTCAAATATGCTTAAATTTGCTATTTTGAGCCACAGACACCAAATGGACACAAAGGTAATTACCTTAATATTCATCAATTTATCAAAGCTGAAGTTTTAAAGTGATAAATGTTTCTACTTGTTCTTGGCACAAACTATCCACAACAATTCAGATAACCGGGGGAAAAAAAATCCTTGGATCAAGTATCAGTCCACTAAAGAGATGTCACTCAGCTTTTAAAGGCGGTATAAGCCCTCTGATGTCATCAGAAATGCTGATGTCGAGTTTTATGTTACAGGTTATTCAAACAGTGAGTGCCATGGACAAAGATGATCCCAAAAATGGACATTATTTCTTATACAGTCTCCTTCCAGAAATGGTCAACAATCCGAATTTTACCATCAAGAAAAATGAAGGTAAATATATTAGCCTTGTGAAACAGGGTGGAACATAAATTGGAAAATAGGATGTGATTTTGTAATTTGACTGAAAATATCAATAAAATAATTTTTGTTCACCCATAAGCAGTTGAAACTTAGCTTATCAGCCTAATGGCTTGGTAATTACATCACTTCTTCTTTCCAATATTAAAACAACAGATAAGAAAGTTGTTAATGTGAAAGTTAATTTTATCCCAGGGAATACCTCAATCACCTTACTTCAAAGAATGAACAGTAAGATTTAACCCCTGGGAAAGTTCCAGGAATTCTGAGATACTGAGATATCAGTTAGAGAGAGAACTGGCTTATACTGCACAGTTGCTAAGTTTTAACTGAATGTTTACCAAGTCTTTAGGGAAAGCCTATCCTAATTTTGCCTGGTTTGTGGGTACACATTAGAGGTATTTGTTTTAAGCCTATACCAACTTTGATAGTAGCAATTAGATCAGGAAATCCTTCTTGAAGGACACTTCTTATCAGTATTATTGTGGAGTTCATATAAACTGATTCTACTGTTGAGTCTTTCACTCATGGAAAACATTTAATCCATTTCATTATTTCTTGAGAACTTAGTTTGGATTAATTATTTCCCCTAACTATTGTCTATTGCATATAAGGTTATATATCTATTTTTTTAAAAGTCTATCTCATCTATATATTTTTGTTTCCTAAGCTGCTGTATATGTAACAATCATTTTTTGCTGTTTATTTTGGCTCAGGTATATTTAAGATTTAGTTTCAGCTGTTTTTGAATGATTAGCAAAATAAATGTATTGTCTTAAACTGTTTTCTGGCTTTACTCTAGACATTTGTTTGGATTTCCGAATGGTCTTTATAAAAACTATACTCAGTAGAGAAAAAGTTCATGACATTTGGGTTATTTGCTATGTTCTGTTTCAAGGAGGTAGTGAATTTTGACGAAATTTCCTTCATGAAATAAAACAACATTTTATGGCTCTTGTTAAGCATATTATGGCTTTACCTTTCAACATGATGCCGCTTACTTAGTTCTTTGGGGATGCTTTGATAAATGCAAATGCATCACCAAAAATGAAGTGGGAAAGTCATTATACAGATATTACTTATTTAGCTGGCCTCCACTGTAAAAAACACTATGGACACGAAATCTGTTCTTTCTCCTTAGTAGTGAAGTGCTCCTTTGTTAACCTTCCCCTAATTAAGAACTGTAATCCATGTACATTGTCTTTGTTTTTCAGTTATCATGACTTCTTTTTTATGAAAGTCACATGAATATGGCTAAGATGAAAGCCAACTCAGAAATCCCAAGCTGAGCTAAGTCTGTGTATAAGTGTGGTCTATGTTCACTTTGATTGTGAGCTAATAGGTATCAGTCATTATTTTTGCATATGAAATGCCCTACATTTAAAAATTCTCTGTGAAGAAATATATTCCCATCCCAAAGGGTTTGAGCTTCTTGGCATATTCTGGGCACGCAATTTCAAGATATGCCTGTAATAGAAGTACGGCCCATCAAAGCCATGTTTACTATATAAACATGTTGTGAATGAATGAGTGGCTGTTTGGGGTGCCAAGGAAAGTGTACTTTTGTACTATATTTGTTATACCCTAAATCTTTTAAAGAGGGGATTTTAGTCTGACAGTAAATGAATTTTGTGCATTTTCTCTAAATTTTGGAAGCAGTAAAAAGTCAAAGTTTGCACACTTAAGTAACCTCTTTTGCCCTATCACACATTTCAATAAGCCCTTTAACAGAATACTTAAAAGTATGTGTATTATCTGTTTTACTCTGAAACTAGAAATGGAAGTTACACTTTTTTTATGTCACAATCTGTGTGTGTGTGAAATAACTGAAAAAAATTTTTTAAATGCCAGGTGTTATGAATGTTTTGTGGAAAGAGCATTCTCTGTGTGTGTTTATTTTGCCAAAAGTGACCATATAACTTATTATTCCAACTGGGGCATTTTTTAAAGTGAAATGGGTTGCTATTTATATTTGTTCCTGGGGGGAGAAAACATAAACCAGGACTGTCATGTGGAAATCAGAACATACATTCACTGTGATTTTGGATTTAGGATCTAAATATTCAACTTCTCCATAGAGTAAATCATGACCTCACTAGTCGTTGGAATAGATATGTATAATTTATACTCTATCTTCCTTTTCCTAGATCAGAAATTCACAAGTTTTGCTCCATAGGCCACTACCTTATCGGCATCTGGATAGTTACTATAAAAATAGAGGGGGAGGGAATGGTCCCTTCTTCACAGGTAGAAAGAAACAAAGTAATGGGAAAAAAGTTGCCAGATTTAAAATGATAGAGATAGATAAGTAGATAGATAAATCAGTATTTTGTTAGCCTATTACCCATTCCCTGTTAATGTTAAGAGAATACAAATACAATATAAAAATCCAAATACTAGGCATTATTTATTTTAAAACTATGGTATATTTTATGTTTTAAGATGGATAGAGTCAGATGATATAATCATATTTAGAATTGTTTCTTTCTACATAAAATGGACTTTAAAATGGTCGTTAGTTGATGTTTCTCCACTGAGAATATCATGATTTTTAAGTCCCATCCCACCAGATGAAGGTTAATATTTTGAGAGACCCAGTATATCTAAATTTATAATTGATGGGCAGATGATTCCCCTATTCAATTAGATCTTTATGGGAGATAGTTTTAATATTTGGCATTTTCTAAGGAAATTGTATCACGTCTTTCAACTTGAAGTTACTGTGATCTTTCCCCTCCCTCATATAGATTGGTCCTTCTGCAATTTTCAGCCGACTAATTAATAATCAAAGACAAAATGAGATCGAAATTAGCTGTCTCCTATCTCCTACACAGTTGAGTGATTTCACAAATAATTCTCATTCTGAATATATGAGATTCATATTTCATCCAGATTAGGAAAGCAACCTTAAACACCCATAAAGGTGAAAGCAAAGATCAAAAATATGATAAGTCATTTATATCACATATATACACTAATCATAGCACCTCACATTTTCTAAATTATATGGCCCAGACATTGGTTTCTCCATCTTCTAGTTGGGTGAATCTAGAAACAAATTGAGATTTTTGCTGACCACATTGCAGTATTGGCCTCCATGCTAACTATGAAAATGGAAGATACTCAACAATTCAAAATAACAAGAAAGGGAAGATAAATGGACCTTTCACAGATACAGTAATATCTTGCTTGCAGAAAATTTCAGGTCTGCCAGAAACATGATCTTCTCCAGCCTGCAAACTGTAGTTAAAAGATTTGATTGGGATTGCCAAAAAGGAGTCTAGCAAAATGGGAGTCTTCGTGTTTTATACTGAAATATTTGAATCATGTGTATAGATAAATGACGAAAAACACAAAGAGGACATTATAAAAAGGAAAGAAGTAGACAATAAATTCGGTCTTAATTACACCTTGGTTAGGCTTAAGAAAAGACAGCAGGGGAAACAGAGTACCTGATTATACTAATATTTGTTTCTCTTCTTGACATTTTCTTTTTGACCAAACCCTATTGGTAAGCACCTCACTCCACAGGTATAATGTGATAATTAATTTGGAGATGTTGATGCTGACTAGAGCTTTGGAATAAATGTACCTGGGCAATCTCAATGTCCATAACATGGTTCCCTGTTTAGAATATAATTCATGCTTTGATTTGTGGAGTTTCCATCTCAACTGACTGGCTGGTTTCAAGCAATATGTGTTTTATGTCTTTTATCCTCTAGAAGCATCCCTTATAAGAATATAGACTGCAGGCTGATTATGTTAAGCCACAGTTTCTTCATCTGTAATACCAGGATAACAATACCTATTCACCCCACAGGCATTATGTGATAGATATGTGTAACCGAGGTCTTAAACAGTTCTTACTTAACACAATGTCTGGCACATTAAAAAAAAAAAAAAAGCAAAAACAAACAAAAACCTTTATCAGTAAATGGGACAAGATCTTCATTAGATTAATCTATTAATTCCTAAATTCCTATGCTATGTTCCTTCTCCTCTGGCTTATCATTTCAACAAGTCTCTTTGCAGCTTTAACTCTGTTAAGTTTTTAATATTGTACAGCAATTGTGAAAGTGGCCTCAATGGTAGTTTTGAAAACCTTCATCCTTACTAGAATACATTACAAGAAATCTGCTTAGTAATGTGTTGCAATCTAAATGGTATTATGAAAGAAAGATAAAAGGTGGGGGGAAAGGAGGAGGAGGAGGAGGAGAAGATAGGGAAAGAATTAAAATATTTACCAGCCTTGAAAATAGCTGCAGGATTCTTGGATCTGTTTTTGAATATAAAGCCTTTTCTCTCTTTCTCCTGTGCCAAAATGAAACTCAGCTTTCTCCACACAATAGTTGACCCCAACTTCCAACTCGATGGGATTAGTTTTCATTCTAACATATCAAGTTGTTTCAAACACCCACAGCCTCCTAACACATATACCCTGTGGAATCTTTTTGCACAGGTTGGAAGATTAAAGACAGTCTTCCTTTGCTTTTTTGAAGAATGTCAACTTATCTCACATTCCTCTTGCTACAAAATTGAAATTTGCTGCCTGAAGGTTGAAGTGGATTTCCCTGGTCCCAGGCCAGCCAGAGCTGGCCCTCTGTCCTCCATCTTTACTCAGGCTGAATCCTCACACACGCCTCTGCTGTACTCAGGTTGGAGGGACAGAGCCCCTCTCTCTTTCTCCTGAAGCCAGATTTACCCCCATCCAGGCAGAACTGGACTTGAAAAGTCTTCCTGATGATCCAGAGTAAAGAGGGCCACTTTATAATCTAGATGTCCTTTTCTGGCCACCTCAGTCCTCCTGGAATTCTTCCATTACCCCAGCCTGTTTTGAAGATATGACAGGACTTTTCCAAAATAACATCTCTCCTCAAGTGGTCCTTACGAAAGCCTCCATCCCTCAGCCACAGCAGATCCATTTCATCAGGTTTCCCAGGCAACCATACCTAAGCAACAAGTGAAAACCCTGCGCTTGTATGAGTGCGATAATGAATACCTCTATATGTATGTTTGCAATATGGTAACCCTGTCTATTCTGCTCACATAGAGGAATTTTCCACAGCACATACACAGCACCACACATTGACAAAGGTCTTTTTCATTTAAGGTGTCAGCTCTGACCCACACGAAGCATGGTACTTTTTGTCAATGTTGAATTCTAAAAGGTAGTATTCAATTTGCATGAAACAGGAGGTCCAACTGGGATCCCAGATATGCAGAATAGCATTATGCATACATGATCCAAAAGGCTTCTGCTTCAGTAATTCATAATTTATTGTTTATGCTTCTAGCAATGTTCCGTTGATAAAAAGCCATTTATGTTTCATTTTGTCGTCTAAACTGTAATTAAGGATGATGTGCAAGCTAAGAAAAATAGATAACAGATCTGTGCTTCCACTTTCCAAGTTGCATATGATTGTAGAGTTGGGATCAGAAAACTAGGTTTTCTTGGCTTAAGTAGTTTTAATAAAACTCTTGTTATTTTTCTTTTTTAATTCATAATACAAGAGTACTTTCAAAAGTTAAGAATTTCCTTTGCATATATTGAAAATCCTAAAACTATTGCTCTATTCAGAGATAGCACTCCTCCATATTTATTTTTAGTGTATATTGTGGGAGACAATTGAATTCTGAGATCACTAACTACCAGGGATATAATTTTGATACATGGCATAGAATTCCATGTGTGCTTGTCCATATGCTATTCAAACTTATAAACTGATTCGTCTCCCAGTCAATTTGCTAAATCATTTACGGTCTGGATAGAGTATTCTAATTAAGAAAAAAAACAATTTTAATGTTTATTTACTTAATGTATTTCTTTTGAGAGACAGCATGAGCTGGGGAGGGGCAGGAAGAGGGGGAGAGAACAAGAATCCCAGGCTCAAACCCATGAGCTGTGAGATCATGACCTGAGCTGAAATCAAGAGTCAGACACTTGAACCACACAGGCATCCCTCTGATTCTGAAAATTTTTAAAAGAGAAAAGCTTAAGAGATAAATTGGTATATGCTTAGTTATCTTAAAGCTACTGTGGTTACCTTAAAGATCCCTTAAGGCATAGAATCTTTTTACTGAAAATTTGCTTTCTGAGACTTTTGCTTCAAAAGAAAAAAATAGAAAATAAGGAAATCAATTGAACGTCAAGAGGAGTAGAGAGAATTATTCAGAGAAATGTCTTCTATTTATCAAATCTTGTTTGGACCACTTTCTTGTTTGTGTCATTAAAAAATAATGCTATTTACTGATCTGTTTACAAGCATAAAAATAGATCTTGGGATTTTTTGGGTGCCAAATAAACATTACTGTCCTTTTGGTAAGCACAAGCAAATAATAAAATTGAATGAGGAAACAAAATGAGCTGTCAGCTGATGCAAATTCTCCTTTTCTAAAAAAGTATTAAATGTAGCTGACAATCATTTTATCTCCCTTCAGCACAGAAGTTTGAATTAATTTTGAGCACTTTATAGGTACAACATTAGGTATACGTGACATTCTAGGGATGTCATATCTAGGGATGTGACCCGAATAATACATATCATGTGCTTGGGATCCCTTGGTTTATTCAAATAGATAGAGAAGGCAGAGAAATAATTTGGAAACAGTAAACGGGACATTCACGTAAACATTTTTAAAGTTGACTTGGGATGAAGTAGAATGAATAGTAAAAAAAAAACAAAACAAAAACCCTGTGGAATATACTACAGCACAAGATTCATAGTTAACAGTATTTAGCTTTGAATCTAGCTCTTTTGATCATGATCTGTGAGAACTTCCACAAATAGCTGAATAATCTCGAACCTTCATCGAGGTAAACATATGATTACCCATATGTCATTTGGAATAAGAAAATATTAATTTACTTTTTAAAAATGTGCTAACTTCAGTGTCTGGAAAATTGAAGGTACTCAATAAATATTAGTTTCCTTTCCTTATGTTCCTTCTTTTTCTATAATTTTGTAAGCCTCCTGAATCTCTTATCCTACTGTAACAAACCCACACCCACACCCAATGCAACAAACAAAAATATCAATAAGGAAACTAAAATAAGGCATTTAGGTGGTAACTAATGATATGCTATTTAACTGCCCCTTACTTGAGTGGCCAATGATTAAACATGTCTGTAAAATCAGCCATAAGTAAAGCAAAGGGAGAGGAGAAATGGTAAAGAATAATTTTTGGGTAACTGAAATTTTTCCTTGAATATAATCCTCATAACCATAACATAATAATGGATAAAAATAAAGAGGACTTACAAATTGTAGATGTCCAGAGAGTGGAGTTTTCTCTCTCTAGATCCAATTCCATACAACTCTATATACTGGCAAATGGAACATTTGAGAATTGATAGAATGACAGATTTTTTTAATTTTGGAAGACCTTGGCAAAAAAAATATATATTAGGAAGATCTTAAATGTTAAATACAGAATGTCAAATGTATTTTTAAAAAATCAGTGATAGTGTACATTTAAAATAGGCAATGATGAAGAATGTCTCTCTCCCCAATTTTATTATCCATCACTCTCTCCCTTCTACCTGTTCTTATCATCTGTATTCCTTATACATCCTTGAACATGCAAAACCAATGGTGCTTTTAAATCCACTCTCCCTTCCCTTTATCTGAAATACACATCTACTGCTCCCTCCATTTTCTATCTAGCTAATTTCCAATCATTCATAAGAACTCAGGCTCCCCGCATTTGTGAGCAGAACAAGGGAATGTTTAACAGTGGCTGTAAGGTTTTGCTGTTGTTGTTGTTGTTTTCTTTGCTTTTCTCTGTAGGACAGTGTGGCAATGGCTAAGGTGGACACATGACCCAAGGAATGTCTTCCCCATTATCCTCTGAGGTTATTAATAAGAGAGTATATCTTTATTCACTCATTCATTCAATACCTATTTAGTTAGTGTCTACCATGTGCTAGGCACTACCCTGGAATTGCAAACAAAGCAGTGAATTAAACAGATACGATTTTGGTTCTCCTGTACAGTGTATTTTTGTTCTCACAACTCAATCTTATACTAATTTGAATTCACAGAAAGGAAGGCTATAATTTAACATGGATTTTTATCTTATAGTGGAGAAATTCACAGGCTAGGCTGTAAAATACTATGATTTGGGGAGGAATGATCAAACATTCTAACTTCTATACTGTCATAAACAAAGGTCCCTCTTAGACCTCACCCAACTTGTAAAATGGGCCCTACATAAAAAAGAGTTTCATCTTTACAAAGCATTGTGCTTATCAGGTGGTGATATATATCCAGAGTCATGGATAACAAATTCTCCCTGTGAGTTTCAGATTGGTACCCTCACTACGCCTGCACTCAGACAAGTTGAACCACACTATCCAATGTGCTTCTGACTACAGTCAGATTATGTTGGGGAGTTCTTCCCAACCTCAAGGTGATCCTTAGGCATCACTGCAATTCATGCAGCAGCACTGCCAGTGGACAGGGACTGATGAATCCATTTTTGCCAGTTTATTAGAATCCATTATAGCTCTGATCCAAGCCTCATTGGATATAGTTTATGTCTTTTCCAGTTCCTATGCATTGTTGGTTCAAATACCTGTCAGTGACCAGGTTTTAACTAACTTTCAGTGTTTAATGTTTACTGAGGTCCTTTGGCAATCAGAGGATGGTATTGTGTTGGTTTTTGGACATGGCATTGGGTTCATTTTCTATATGTCCCCTAAAGAGCGATCAGAATGAATGTACTGATGCACTTCATAGAGAAAAATAGTAACTGTTTCCTTGGACCTTGCTGAGTCAACCATTGCCTTTGCTTTCATCCTAGTAGATTGCTTACTAGAATTTTCTTCATCTATTGTTTGAGTAGATTACTCTCAGCCTTTTGATGGCTGTTTATCTTACGGCAGTCTGAGAAAAAAGTGATATTGTACCTGGTATGCTGAGCACAATCATCTTTCTCCAAGTTTCATGCTTTCACTTGGCCAGACTGTCATTTCTCATTCCATCAAGGCCACACTGTGATGCACTTTTCTGGGGACTTCAGTTTCTTCTCCTATAAAATAAATGGGTTACTGTTGGAGAGCTAAGGATTCACGTATTCTAATATACTGAGTGTGCAAACCTGTGCTATTTGGAGATATATCAGAGACTTGGAAATCAGACAAATTCAGCATTCACCAATTAATGAAGATGTGACTTTGGACAGAGCTTTCAACTTTCTGTAACAGACTGTGTTTGATAATGTTAAAATGAAATTACTGTGATGAACAAATGAAAGAATATACGATAAGTGCCAAGGGCAGTACCTAGAACTTATGTGATGTTCTGTGTGCTTTGCCTTCTTTATCAACATTCAAAAGAAATAATGCATATGGAAGTCATCTTTCTACCAGAAATTATTATACCAAATCTCATTCATATTAAAATACCAGATAGTGTTATTAAAAGATATGCCTCTACAATATTACAGGTTCTCTTTCTCAGTACATTTGGGCAGAACTCTGGACATATTAAAGAATTAAATCATTCCCATATATCAAAAGAACTCAATAAACATATGACACATGGTTCTAATAGCTCAGAATTTGGTAGCCTTCCTTATCTTCTAAGGGTGGAGATAGGAAATATACTAGTTTTATGAAGATATTTAATTACTGGATTAGTTTTGATTTATCAGGAAGGTCTCTCAAAAAATTAGAGCTTGAGTATGTTTTAGAGAAATGAAAACACTGTTATGTGCAGAGAGTGCTAATCACAAAAGGGAGACTGGTCAGATATACAAGGAACTTATTTTAAGGAACAATAAGGGCCAAAAATATGTTTAAAGACAGATGCAATGAAACATTTTGTGGAGATCCATGAACTCTGTTCTCAATAGACTTTGCTTAGTTCACAAAAGAATATTCATGATGTGGCTCTTAGTATTTTGAGTATGTCTTAGTATTTTAAGTATACTTAGTATTTTAAGTATGCACATACTTAATGTTTTTCATAAAATAAAAAATGTGTCCTACATACTGATGAGGTTTTAAGACACACATACACACATACATTTCTAGTAAGGCTGGGAAATAACTTGATATAAAAATACACTACATATACCAGTAAGATATATATGAAAGAGGTCTCTCAGTGCATAGTTTCAAGTCTTAAAAAAAAAAAAGTCTTAGCCCATGTTCTGAAACATGAAGTTGACATCAGTTGACAAGAAACATCCCTTCTTTACAAATGTCATTGGGCAAATGTTCAACAAAGAAAGTTGTAGAGTGGTTAGGAGAAAATTATCTCAAATTCATTATTTTTCCCAAAGTAAAATGACTGAAATGTACACGGAAAATTATATAAAGTTCACATTTTGATTGTGTAGGGAGAAACAAGAAGAAAATCTATGCCCCTATATTTTTAATTGGAAAACATAAAAAAAGATTATACACATTAGAAAGTATACTTCTATCTCTGTTGAGGATTTTACTTAGAAGTCCTGCAGGTATTTTAAGATAAACCTGTGCTCTATTACTCTGCATGGGTTATATATCAAATAGCAAGAAAAAACAATACGAAAGTTTTCTGAGCACCTATTATTTCATATTATTGACAGTATATCTGTCTCTCCATTGATCTCTAAAGTATATATTCAGGGTGAGCATTATCATTGCCATTTTATAGATGGGAAGTTGAAGCTCCACTATGTTAATGGAAGTGCCAGACACAGAATGAGGCTACCAAGCTGGTAAATCTGTAGTCTTACCAGGAGCACTTAGTACCTTTCAAAGCCTTGCCCTTTACTCCTAGAACATTTGCTCAGCAAAACTGCTGATATTTTATTTATAGTTTTCAAACATTTGTGGTTCCTTTTCTCAAAATATAGAAGGCTAGAAACTATCAACTAAGCCTTAGAGAAGACCATCACAGTATTAGTTGGGTAAAACCTGGCAACTCTAATTTGATGCCTTAAAACTTTAATATCATCAAATATACAATGTTGTTAAAGAGATACACCATTAATTTATGCTCAGTTAAGAAAAATAACGTTCCGTTAAAAAGCTGACAATACAACATGCCCTTAAATATAAGACGTATCCTTATTTCATAGGTATTAAAACACACACACACATATGTTAGAATCATACATATATACACACGCACACACATATATATGTGTGTGAATCATTAAAACACAATATTTCAAATAATAAGTCTGAAGGGGAACTGGAGGGAGAAAAAACCAACAACTTAGGTATAAAAATAGTGCTGGGTGCAAAGTTTAGGTAATCTAGCTCAACACTCCACTGAAATTAGAGTACAGACAAACTGTGAGGGGTGTTTTAAAGAAGCACATTTCCAAAGGCAGTCATTGTGTTTATTATATTACTCACTTGCTTAATCCCTTCATAGAATGCCTTCCAAAATAAGCCAAGTGCCATTAACAAGGAATTGCGTATTCATTTCTCTCAAAAGCACAATTTCCAAATTTGAAATTGCAGTGTGAGAATTTAAAATCCATGTGTGGCTGTGCAGGCTTTGCCTGGAAATGCGATATTGGGGTATGTGCTGGGTCTTGATTATAAGTACAGAACATGGAGCTTTACATCACAAATTTCTCTATCAGGGACCTTCCTCTTTAGAAGGGTGATGGTAACATATGATGGTAATGTCAAAGTGGCAGAGAACAGAAAAGTAGCAAGAGTTTTTATATCATAATTCCAGTGGACCAAAGAGTAATATTTGTGAGACCTTAAAGAAAAAAGAAGGAAGCAGACATCAGGTGAGGACAGGCTTTGAGGGATTAAGCTATGCATATAAAAACCTACCCTGAAGTGCATTCTAGACATGAATATGATGACTGCAAAGAGCAATAGGGACAGTCAAATTAGTGAGGCTGGTGTAGCAAAAAAAAAAAAAAAAAAAAAAGTTAAAAGAAAAAAGAAAAAAAAAATCTCACTGCTAGAGACAGAAATGTTCACCCAGGTCTCTTCTTAAGAATAGTAGCCAGAGAATGAGAAACAATGAAATCTGGCCATGTGTAGCAACATGGATGGACCTTGAGGGTGTTATGCTGAGCGAAATAAGTCAGGCAGAGAAGGACAAATAACATATGTTTGCACATATAGGAGGATTAGGAGGAACTTAACTGAGGAACAAGGTGGAGAAGAAGGGGGGAAATGGTGGGGGAAAGGGAGAGAGGCAAACCATGAGAGACTCTTCACTTGATCTTAGCCAAAAGGCCGAGAAGCGATGAGAGAGACTCTTGAATGCTGACAAAATCTGAGGACTGATGGATATGGGGGGGAGGGGGTATGGGCATGGAGGAGGGCACTTGTGGGGATGAGCACTGGTTGTTATGTGGAAACTAATTTGACAATAAACTATTTGTAAAAAATTTTTTTAAAAAATGTAAAGATGTAAAAAAAAAAAAAAAAAAGAATAGTAGCCAGAGGCACCTGGGTGGCTCAATGGTTATGTGTCTGACTTCGGTTCAGGTCATTATCTCGCGGTCTGTGGGTTCGAGCCCTGTGTTGGGTTCTGTGCTGACAGCTCAGAGCCTGGAGCCTGCTTCAGATTCTGTGTCTCCCTCTCTCTCTCTGCCCCTCCCCCGCTTGCTCTCTGTCTCTCAAAATAAGACATTAAAAAAAAATTTTTTAAATAAAAAGAATAGTAGCCAGCCAACGTGCCTAATACATGAGCTACATATGGCTGGGTGGAAGGGCAGCAATGATGACAAAGTAAGATTCAGGAAAAGTTCTCAGTATTTCTAGGAGATCCAGTGAAACTTAGGAAACCAAGGCCAAGAACAGATAAAGTCCATTATGTGCTAAGTAATTCCTGGATCCTTGCAAACTCTACTATTAGAGGTCCATGAATGTTGGGCTCACAGAAACCCATTCACATTGCAGGGGGTCTGAGCCTCCTGTACAACATGCATCAGTTTGTTCTTAGAGGACAGAGAGGAGGAAAAAAGTTACAATGTGAAGAAAATCATGAGGGAGGAGGAAGCATGGGCTCTCATAACTGTGATTCTATTATCCTTGATCCCATGTAATTCTTGTCTTCCTACAGCTTCTAAAATATATAAAATATAAAATATAAAATATTCTCAGAGGCAGCAGTGATGAAAGTGAGCAATGACAAAGACAACAACACACAGTGGGAAGCCCATTTCCCACAGGTTGAGTAGAGACTGGGCTCCATCACTTGCTAGGGGATCTTTAATGAGCTATTGCATCTCTCAGCCTTAATCTTCTCTTAAAATGGATTAATCCAGGAATTACTTACAGCATTGTGAGGAGTTTTTAAAGGTTATGCAAACTTAGAGTACAATATATGGGCTCAAATGGAGGATCAATAAACGGAGGCTGTGGTTAAAGAACATAAGAGGCTGGCCAATGAATGAATGCATTTAATGTACCTTCACACAAAAGAGCTCATGAAAAGCTTACCTTTCACATCTTAGGAAGAACTAGGTGGAGAGAATACATATATGTATTAATACTTATTTGCTTGCAGACAACCCTACTTAAACTACCTGAGCTATAAAGGTAAATGGGCCCAAATAACAGAAAGTCTAGAGTTCATATGGTGTCTCTAAATGATGAGACCTAGGTGCCCCAAGATCTGTCTTTCCCTAGTACTTCTACTTTCTTTCTGTGTTATCTTGCCGTCCCTGCACAATCTCTTTAAAGAGAAGGAAAGAAAGCTTGCTGAAGGAGCAGGTCTGTACATATCTTACAGCTTGGTATTTCTGAATGAGAGATCCTCTTTATCCCGGGTTCCTTATCAGTTCCTAGTTAAAAGGTCCATGTATGGCCTAGGAGATGATCATGTGACTCAACTGAGCTATTCTCTGTATTCATGGACATCAAATATCCTCAGGGATGTTGTGAACAGTTTTGTGAGCTATTCCTTATCCCAAGCCCTTGGCCCTGGGGTGAGCAGCAATTCAAAATCAGCCCATTTTCCCCCTGAGAAGTTCTGACCCCAAGGAGTCTTCTTTCTCTATTCTCAGAAAGGCCTGATTTCATTTCAAGCCCTTGAACCCTTTAAGGCTGTAGCTGC